CCGACCTTCCCACTAGGGTCACCTTCTCTTTCTGGGTGTCGGGAGGCTACTCCCCAGCCCCTCCCAGCCCCTCCTTCTGTCTGCCTCAGATCTCCCCTCCTGCAGCTGAGACGGACCTATGGCCGGAGAGCTGTGTCCATGGATTCTCCGGGGCCTGGTCGGCGTGCGGCAGCCCCAGTGCTGGAGAACCAGGACTTTGCAAGAAGTGGGGATCCTGTAAGAATTCAGGGCTTCTTGTGCAAATACTTTGACGCTCCCGCTCAGGGAAAAGCCCTCTTACACAAGAATACCTGCGCAAGAGGGCCAGTGTAGACAGGCACCTTCATTTTTTGCGCAAGAAAGCCCCATGGCTAAAATGGCCAACGGAGCTTTCTCGCGCAAAAGTACATCTATACTGGGCACGGATACTTTTGCGCAAATACTTTTCACGGAAAAACTTTTCCATTAAAAGTATTTCTGCAAAATTATGCCAGTCTAGATGCAGCCATACTGTCTAGACCATCCCTGATAGACATTTATCTAACCTGCTCTTCCATATCTCCAGAGATGGGGATTCCACAACCTCCCTGGGCAATTTATTCCAGTGTTTGACCACCCTGACAGGCAGGAACTTTTTCCTAATGTCCAACCTCAACCTCCCTTGCTGCAGTTTAAGCCCATTGCTGCTTGTTCTATCCCCAGAGGCCAAGATGAACAAGTTTTCTCCCTCCTCCTCGTCACACCCTTTTAGATACCTGAAAACGGCTCTCATGTCCCGCCTCAGTCTTCTCTTTTCTAAACTAAACAAACCCAATTCCTTCAGCCTTCCCTCCTAGCTCCTGTTCTCTAGACCTTTCATCATTCTCGTTGCTCTTCTCTGGACCCTCTCCAATTTCTCCACATCTTTCTTGAAATGCGGAGCTCAGAACTGGACACAAGACTCCAACTGAGGCCTAACCAGCACAGAGCAGAGTGGAAGAATGACTTCTTGTGTCTTGCTCACAACACAGCTGTCAATGCATCCCAGAATCAGGTTTGCTTTTTTTGCAACAGCGTCACACTGCTGACTCATATTCAACTTGTGGTCCACTCTGACCCCTAGATCCCTTTCGGCCGGACTCCTTCCCAGACAGTTGCTTCCCGTTCTGTGTGTGTGACACGGATTGTTCCTTCCTAAGTGGAGCACTTTGCATTTGTCTTTATTAAACTTCATCCTGTTTCCCTCTGCCCATTTCTCCAGTTTGTCCAGATCAGTTTGAATTATGACCCTGTCCTCAATAGGGATGAAGACATCTGAAAACCGCTCTCATGTCCCCCCTCAGTCTTCTCTTTTCCAAACTAAACAAGCCCAATTCTTCCCTCCTAGCTCCTGTTCTCTAGACCTTGCATCGTTTTTGTTGCTCTTCTCCGGACCCTCTCCAATTCCTCCACAGCTGCCCAGAAATGTGGGGCCCAGAACTAGACACAAGACTCCAACTGAGGGCTAATCAGAGGCCCCACTAAAGTTCCTGGCGGTGTTCAGAGCATTCTGGGGGTCATCACATCGGCACCACCGGCCCGGGCTGGGGGAGTCGTCTCTCCAGGCTCCTGACTGCCCCTGGGAGGTGTAAAATCGCGAAGAGGGCAGGGGAGACTGGAGACAGGCAGGCGGAAAAGCGAGAGGAACTCCGGGAAGGAGAGCAAAATCTCTCGTGAGTCTAGCTGGGGTGAGGCCGACCCTTCCTCCGGGGGCCTCCAGAGCGCGACATGGTCCGAGAAAAGGCTGGTCTGTCCCCTCCCCGGCAGGGCCACTGCACGGCACCTGTGGACGCAGTCCTCACTCACTCGCCCCCAGCCTGCTGCCCCACGGGGGGCATCGCCCCCCACGGCTTAGAGCCAGCCCTAAAACCCGTTCAGGGTGCCCCAATGAGTTCTCCTCTCTCCCTTGTGCGGCGCCCCTGATCCGGGCAGGGGGACCCCCCCCTCTCGCGGCACAGGGTCCCCAGGGAGCTAGTGCCTGTTCTGCCCCTCTGGGTGCACCCCCCAGCCTGGGGACCCAGTTCCACCCCCACTCTGATTGAGCGTCTACACGGCGCCCCGGGCCGACGGGCAGCGAATCGATCCAGCGGGGGTCGATCTATCGCGTCTATACCAGGGGTGGGCTCCAAGGCACCCCCCCCCCCCCCCCCCCCGCCCCCGCCGCCCCGCCCCAC